ATTATATATATAATTTTTATTAGAATATTGATATTAAAAAGTGAAAAGTTACATCTCTTGTAACTATATAATTTCAAATTCCTTCTACATTTATTTGAAAAATTTTATTACGATTTTTATAAAAGCAATAAAAGAGAATATATAGAGATTTTTTATACATGAATGATTTATAAGAATAAAAAATGCATCATATATATTGTCAGATGACGACTTATTGGATGAGAATCGACCACGGGACGGTCGTCGAGGTCCAAAACGGCCGCGGACGATACTCACATCGGCACAACGACGTCAATTCAAAGCGTCTTTCGAGGTGTCCCCGAAACCCTGCAGGAAGGTGCGGGAGGCCCTCGCCAAGGATACCGGCCTCAGCGTGCGCGTGGTCCAAGTGTGGTTTCAGAATCAGCGAGCAAAGATGAAGAAGCTTCAGAGAAAGGCCAAAACTGAGCCGGGATCCGACAAAGAACCGAAAGAGGAGCGAAGGACGGAAAGTCCGCACAGTGATCACAGTAAGTATCTTTTCACGTTATCTCTCTTCGGAGAATTCCGTCAAAAATTCAGATATATTTTCAACACGACCGACTCTAGATTTCTGAAATTCCTCGTCAGTCCTGAAATACAAAATTTCGGGTATCATTAATTCTATTTATTTTTAAAATCATTAATCCCGATTTTAATTTTAACAATCTATTTCGTTCCTCTTTTATCGATTATCTATTATTTACTAAGAATAAAAAAAAAAAATATGGAGAATTAGCGTAGAATTGCAAGAGAGCAACGCGATCTCGTCGGGAGACTCGCGAATTTGCGAAGACTGGTTAATGGGGCATTGGTAAACGAGTGAGTTCAATGTCAATTGTCTAATCTCGTTCGCAGGTCATTACTTGAACGCCCTGAACATGCGCGATGGGGAATCTTCTAGCTTCCCCTCAGCCACCCAACCGCTCAACCCCAATAACCCGTACTCGCCCGACGGTAAGTCTTTACTCACCGTAGAAACTCATTTGCGCACTAATGTCATAGAGAAACGGTATGTGCGTAACGCGTTTGCGTCCCGACAAGCGTTTATGCAAAGTATATATTTCGGAATATGCAAATAATACTCTAGGCTTTTTGACAAATTCAATTCTCTTTTAATAAAATCGGTAAATTTTATTTTGGGAACCCCTTATGTTAAAAAGTTCTAATATTTGAAAGATAAGAGAATAGACGATTAATCACGTTGTCGGAAAACCAAGATATAATAAAAAAAATGCAACATGTATTTTTTCTTTAATACAAATCTAACCGATTTTTCGTATTTTAAGATTTTTTTTTTTTTTTTTATATTGCTCACACACACACATACATATATTAAAAGATTCAGAGATTTAAATGCAACTTTTAGCGTTGAATATTAAAATGTTGTAACAACTGCAGCTCACACATATAAAAATTTCAAGAACACTTTCATAAAAAGTTTTTGAGAGACAAAATCTGTGTTTACTCCAACCACTTTTTTTCATATCAAAGATAGAAGCTTCGCTATACATTTTTTTTTTTTTTTTTTTTTTTTCAAAACATCCTGCACACGTGACGCACCCACGCAGGTTCGAAGCAAATATTTATTTAGCTTCTATAGAGCACAGAGCAATGATATTTTTCTGAATATTTCGGATCTGAATTTTTAGCATTTTTTACAACTGCGATCATATTACTCTATCACTTGATATTCTACCATTAGACATACACTATATATAAAAAAAAAGCTTATCTCACTTTTCTATTCCAGCATTTGCTGAAATTCCCAGAGCATGTAAAACATTTTTGAAAAAAATTTGTCTTTTATATATATGTATATATGCAAATATATACATATATTTGCTTCTTTTTCTTCTTAAAAGCGAATATAAAAAAAAAATAATTGGAGTAATATTATTTATTCAAATTCAGTTAATATTAAAGGGTTTTAATTATCGCGAAAATATATTATATTCTGTATTATGTGCATAAAAATAGAAATTTTCCCATTGCTGCGATTGTACATTCCATTCAACATCTTCCGAATCGCGCGGAATTTTGCAAAAAAGAATTAACCACGTCTCGTTTCTTCCAGACGCGTATCCAGGGCACTCGGGGGAGAGCTTCTGCAGCAGCGACTTGTCCCTGGACGGGACGGACGGCGGCTTCGACATCGGCGAGAACGACGGCGGCGGCGCGGATGGCAGTCATCAGGGCGCCTCGCATTCCCATCACGGCTCATCATCGCACGACACTCCGTCGCTGTCGCAGAGCCTGCACGCGGCCATTCACAATCCCATCGACAAACTGTTCATGATGCAGAGTAGTTACTTCAGTGGTGATCACGCGTAATCCAAATTTTCCTTTCCTCAATCTCGCGTCGCTTATTTTGCCCTCCTCATCGTCCCCATCCTTTTCAGTATCCTTCCCTCGCGTGTCCTATCAATTGGCTTTGTTGCGTCAACGAAGGAATCGACATTGCATTTCGTTCCTTTTTCGAAATGATCGCGGCGAGATAAAGATAGATATTTTTCGTTCCCCACGCGACTTGTTATTAACCCATTTCTGGTCAACATCATGTATAACTTATTTTTCTACGCGATATGCAAAATATTTCTAAATTTCTTTAAAGATTTCGTGATGTGTGTGTTGACGCAACGTCAAAACGTTCTCTTCGAAATGTTTGCTTTTCTTCATTGATGAAGAATGAAAATCTGTATTTATTCCTCTGTGTGTAATAAATAGATATTCATAAATACAGTACAAAGAATATTATTACGGAACTCTTTCCTTCTTCGTCCTATTTTGCATTGCGTGGCAAGGGACAACAAACTCCATCGACGTTGAATTAGTGCAGCGTTTCTTTTTTAGAAAATTTTCACGCGTTCTTAATAATCTTGATTGCAGAAAAATTATTGTGATAAAATATTTTTTTCCTTTCACGGTCAAAAATGGGTTATAAGAAGAAAATAACTCGAAAGATGATCAAAACAAATGCTAATAATAAATATTAATTTTTAAACAACTCTACATATATTTATTTATTATTATCAAAGAAAATAGTTTAAGATCTTTGTTTAACAAACTAACTAGGGTAAGAGTTTACTCTATCATTAATTATTGTATGTAACAATTAATATATAGTAGTCACAATGTGAAATTATAGTAATAACTGTGACAATGAAAACAGCATGAGACTATACTCTCATGAAGACGCGATTTTTTTATGTCTGTTATTTATTGTAGGTTTATTTATTTAATTTATTTATAATATTAATGTGTTTAACCTTATTATATCCATCTTAATTAATCAATCAAATTAATATATTTTTCAGAGTTTTTCGATGATTTGCAAAGATGTGTTATAAGATGCGCGTGATGAAAGAGATAAAATTCGATAATACCACCGTTGATCAGTACGTAGGAGAGAAAATATTGTTTAAATGGAAATACTATACTTTTGTTCACTCATCTCTTTCAAGTACTTTTTGAGCAACAAGATAAGATAAAAATGAATATAGGAGAGTTAGACTGTATCAGCAAATCTACAAGATTTCGAATTTGTCAGATGATTATTGACTATTAATGTATGACTAAAAAATTTAAAAAAAATTATACTATAAAAAAATATACTTTCTCTAAAAATATCTAAAAACGTATACTCTAAAAAATTATACTATAAAAACTGCAATCTATTTTTCATGTATAAAACGGTATATTTAAATGTTTGATGTACATTATATTTGTTCCGTGAGATCGTTACTAATCTACAAATTGCATCGCAACTATCGCAACTAATAGTCATTATTGCATCTATTTGTTCTGCTTCTAATAATAGGCTATTTGCAAAGATTTTCATTCGTTCTGTTTGGTATTACGCTATTATTCTAGTATAACAACTATCGGAGCGAGGCAATATATTTGTCGATAATAACGCATTAACTCGCGGCGCGAATAAAAGTTAACAATTAGCCATTGTTATTTTATAACATATATCTTCATCATAAATATCGATACAATTTTTATTATAAATATTCCTAGTAACAGGACTTTATATTTCTCATCGCTTATAAGACTAATTTAAAATTTGCTTAGATAGGAATAATTCGACAACTATTCCTCGTCAACAATGTAACACATTAGAAATAATTATTAATAGTCAACAATAATACCTTGTGATTTTCGGAATATACTTTCGAGTTATGTATATTGCTTTCGCAGCCTGAGAAATGCTTTACGTTATCACTACAATATAGTGATATCTTTTCAGTCTAAGATTATGTTGATTGATATATTAAACAATGTTTCTATAATGCCGAACAAAGTAAAATTATATAAACAAGTAAAAATATAATATGTTTTATTCCGTTAAACAAAAATATATATATCTCAAATGTGTTGCATATTTGTAAAAAGATATTGTCAAAATAATTGCGCGATTATTCATCGAGTAAAATTACGTAGAGAAAGTAAAACGTAATAAAAAATTAAGATAATGTGACGTAATGGAATATTCACGGTTTACATTATATGCTATAGAAATTTTCAATTATTATCTAATTTTCTGATTATATTTTGTTTGAAGAGATTTATATATATATATATAGATGTTTATAAAAAATTATAAAGTCTTTTTTTATGATTCATATTATAAATATAATTTAAAATTGTATACATAGATAGATTTGCTTTTGCTTGTTCGTTTTACGCTTATATTTCTTAGAAATATATTTTCATTTACCCTGCGGCGTGCATTTCTAGAGAGCATTTTCGACGGTAGAAAATAAAACGTATATGCATATATTAATATATGATATGATTTTTTATGTATATTACTTTCATTTTCAATTGTTTGAACACTGTTTTGTCGAAACAATGTCTTTAATGACATGACGCAATTCTTATGGTTAAAATTTTCTTTAACACAATTTTTTTTTTTTTTTCTTAAACTTTAAGATTCGAAAGATTTAAAACTCGATGATAAAACTGTAAAATGATACAATATAGAAAAATTTTACGAGATTAGACTCAAATTTCTTATCGACAACGTAATATTGAGACATTTCTCACGATAAGGATGTCGCAATAATATAATCACAATAATCATATTACTGATAAAGAAAATTTTATGCCTTGTATATATTTAATAACAACTATTTTTTCGCAAGAGAAATAAAGTATCTCATTTCAATTAAATATTTGTTCTATTCTCCTTATCAAATATCAATGATACAACTTGATAATTTCTGCTTTGTATTCCTTATGTATTCCTAATCATTAGTATAAATTGAAGCACAAAATATATTTATCTACGAATTTCTAATATACGTTAGAATTTAGATTACAATGTTGACTTTTTGTTGTGACATCCAAAAAAAAAAAAAAAAAATACGAAAGATATGCCAGTATTTGTGTTTCTAAGTACTCGTAAGTACCGAAATGAGAAGTTTAAGCGAACATGTCTTGAATAATCGTCAACAGAAATTCGTGGATTCACCCGCTCGATATACATTCGTATGTTCATAACGACATATATATTATTAACCGTTCGTACATACAGCAAATATATATATATATAAGTAGATACATATATATTTATACTGTATACGATCCAGTCGAATGTATACAAAAATGCAGCCCTATAAAATGAGTGATAAAAACTTTCTACAACGAGACGCGCGGCAAAGATTACATCATTGATGCTTAGAAGAGTTTTCATCACAGATCAGAACCATCCGATTGGATCGGAGGTTGTTGTCGCGAGATTTCATCGATCGCTATCAACTATATAGCGCGCGTCTATCTTCTTTCATTTATTATAAAGTCTAAGTAAACTTATGGCGGTGATGGAGCTTAAAAGCACATCTCGTTTGCTTGTCGTACGTTTTATCATCGTCCACGACCATCTCCAATCGTTCAAGTCGTTAACCGCATCTCGCACGTTCCTGTATCTTGGCAAATTTCACGGGTGCACTTGATGCCATTCACTGGAAAGATTTCACTATGTCCACGATGCTGACGTAAGTCCCGGCTACGAGACCCAGCAATCCGAACACGATCAGGAGTATATTCTTGATTAGCATAGCTTTGAAAAGACCGAAATCCTTCCCCGGCCACAGCACGCATATCTCGATAATCGCCGGAAAGGCGATGCCAAGGGCGGATAGACAGAGAGCACCGAAGAGGGAAATGAATAGGCCGAGCCTCGGTATAGCAATCGCCAAGATGACTGAAATAATAGAGATATGCTTTAAAGTTGAAGAAAGGATATTATTCGAAAATCATCAAAGATGTCGATCTTGAATGCAATGTTTCATACGTGTTTGCTTCTTTCATTATTTAAATACTATGTATTAATATATTTGCAATGTCATATATTGAAAAAATTTTCTCTCTCACGGAAATTTATCAGTATTTTTTTTTATTAATTTACAAAATATTTTATTCATTGATTATAGAGATTTTGCTACTTACATGTCGCCAAGGTAATGGCGGTCCGACAAACGTACTCCCATAAAATTTTGCGATTCTGTATTCGATGGTCCAGATAGGTATTCCACATTATTTCAACGGGCACATAAGCTTGTAAGGCATACGTTATGAATATGGCAATCGCGAACATAATCTTAATACTTTGAGCCATACTGCAAACAGAAAATACAAAAAAAAATATATACATATATGAGAAATATAATTTTTTTATAATATAATAAAAAATAATTTGCTCATCTTAAATTAGATATATTTAATATATAGATTGGAGAAGTTTTTATATTTATATCAAATAAATATATTTTCTCCTACAGGAGAATTTTAACAAATGGAATCAAGGATACTTTATGACACTACAAGAGTAAAAATATCTTTGTCATCTTATTGATATTACGATTGTCTCGTTTCACTTACATCTCTTCTTTTGGTAGATTGAAAGTGACGCTTCCCTTGGTATCAGATCCAAACTTCACATAGCCAAAAAATCCAATGATTATGTACAAAATAACGATCACAGTCATACCTATGTTGAGCACGCCGCAATAGCCGCCGAAAGATTGCGGCGTCTTCATGTTGTTTTCCAGAGCTATAATCTATGCAACAACAATATACATTATCTCTTTTGAATAATATAACGGAGCGATAATGGCAATACATCGACAAATTGAATTTTTCCTTTGTTTGTTTCTTATAGAAAGTATCTCAAAATAGACAGTAATATGTTCTAAATTTTATTTTTAATTTAATTTAATTTGTTGATTTCAGTGGACAACGATCAAGTTTTTGTCATAAATTAGGAAAAATATTAGTTAAAACTATTTTCTTTTACGAAGACATTAAGAATCATATTATATTTTGTGATACTTTAATTCTTTTTGTAATCCGGATTTATTAATTTTATTTTTCAAACAGTATAAATGTAAGAAATATGTTTCTTTTAAATTTTGATAGTTTTTTGCTACTATTGTATAACCAAAACATCCTTAAAACAAATTAAGTTTTAAAAATATCTCGGGACACAACAATTATAAATAATTGCACATAATAACATTTATGGCACCTTTGTATATCACTCCATATGTCAAATTCGGTCTCTCTCGTATGTACATAAAAAAACATATATAAAAAAATTTCTATTTTCTCGATGAGAGATGAGATTGACAACATTGTTTAAGAAAAATATATATCTTTCTCCAGACACTTACCACACCGACGGCTTCTAACGCAAATAACGTCGTTCCAAAATAGAGGGAAAAATTTCTTACTGTACCAAACATCTCCCTTTCGCTTATCGACGGTAAATCGTCAAACATATACGATAGAATCATGCCGAGCCCGATGAGGGTAATAAGATTCGCTATCGTGGAAAACGGCGCCAATAACTTTAGATTTCTTATGTAATTGATCAATATCAGCGGAAGCAACAAAATGAACATATGGGTCGAAATCGACAAAGGTTCCCAGTAGTAATCCGTTACCTGCGTTCATTAAAAAAAATTACAATTGGATGCTCTGCTACAGCGTCTGTTCGACAATGATTCTGTTACACACTCGTCTTTTCTTATTGCAATTCTTTTACTGATTTACCTGTTTTATATTTGTTGCTACAAATACAATATAAACACAGCAAATTCCCAATTGATATGTTATCATAAACCCGTCTATGAATCCTCTGGAAATAATAGCACTCTTTTAAGATTATTCTTATTACAATTTATAGCTGTATGTCTTTTTCTAGTATAAAACTGATTGAAATTAATTGTACAGTTTTCTTTCTTGTGTCGCAATTGATCATTTTTTTTAACTTTTATATATAAACGCAGTGGTAGAACAACGCGTTTAATATATTTTAATAGAAAAATACGTATATATAACAAATGTGTCGTTAATATTTCTAATCGATAATAATGCATTTTTTGCAAATGAAATACAGGCACAATAATATAAGTCGAATCGTTCAATTTGAATAATTACTATATAATTATAATCATAATTATTTACAACTATTTTATGTAAATTATCTATAATCATCTTGAAAGAAACATTATTTATTTTGTCTACTCAACACATTGCAATAAAGAGTTCAAGTGTTTTGTATACATACTATTTTCTATTTGATTAATTATTATTCTTTATTGAGAAATTGTTTGAATAAAAAAATAAGATATGATCGCGTACAACTATTTCATCTACTTGGTACCACGTTGTGTCGACTTGTTGTAGATCAAGCAGGAGGTACTTACGGTGCATACGGCGCGAACCATCTCATGAATTGAGGACCTTGCTCAAGGGCGTGCTTCATACTGTCTGGATAGCTCAATATAGGAACTCTTAACCGTTTACACAATTTGTACTGCGCCCTTATGAGTATATGCAAGCAGTAGGTGCACAACGCTCCTATGATTATCGTAGCTATAACGCCGACTAGGAAGCCGCTATTGCAAAATGCGTTCGGCATCGCTAGAATTCCCGTGCCAAGACTTCCTTTTAGCAAGTGAACCAAGGTTTCAAAATTTCTGAAAGAATACTCTCGTGTTATGAAACAAAAGCCGTTACAGAAGATGTTCCGATATATTACACATTTTTTTAAATAAATTTTAAATATTTTTTTTCCTTGATTAAATTTTAAAGGATGCATTAAAAGAGAGAATGCTCTTATTTAATGTTCGTATTTCGATTATTTGATTGCGAGTAATGTCTCTTACATCTTAATTATATTTTGATCTCGTATCTTAATTTGTAAACAGACACAATAAAAGTCTGTAAAAAAAAAGATGAGCAACGGAAATGATGTCGAATTTTATCACAAGCGACAATGTATTAAATTATGTGTTTTAAATATGACCATATTACCTTCAAACGTAAATGATTAATTATAATTTGCACTCACGAAGTTGGATTTGGTACGCTCCGATACTGATGAGGATCGTAATTCTCCGTATCTGTGATATCTGGAGAATTTGGAGGTGCTGCGGTCTCGGTATTGTCTTCAGCGTTCGGAGATAACGCGGTTTCGACATTAGTTGTAGTAATATCCTTGTCCTCTCTGTGTATAAATTTTCACATAATATCAAAATTTCACATAATAACGGGTATCGAATAATATATAATAAATAATATCGAATTTTTACATAATAACAAGAGATGGTGAGAGAAATTAAAATTTCCATCTTCTTCAAGCTAAAAAGATTTTCTTTAATTAAAAAAATAACTTAATTATAAAAATCTAAGTTTCTGGATATATATTCAATATTATTTATTTAATTGAATCGTACCTATGAGAATTCTCATGGGAGTCGATCAACTCCAAACGTATATTTTCTTCCTGCATTTTCTGCATCTTCATACAAAGTTCCTCATGCAATTGTTCCGCCGGCGCTAGAAAAGCATTTTTCGCAGATTCTAAATCCATTCTTATTCAATTAATCCGTTAATATATTTTCGTTGTATAAATATGTGAATGAGTAATTTCATTAATTTTGTGTAATTATTACACGAGTGGCTGATATTTATTAAATTATTATTAAATTTAAGATAAAATAATATACGAAGCAGAAAATACGAGAAACTGTAACGAACTGTAACAACATAAGTCTATGTCTTATAAGTCCTTTGCTTTGTTCTCTTATAATAACAAACACATACATGTGACTTTTCCGCTAGCTTTGAAATATAAACAATATGCTTCCGCGTTTCCTACAGAAATAATTCAATTTACTTATTCAAAGTCTATATGGAACAAACAATAATTTTTAATAAATATCTTTTAGCTCACACTTTATCTATAGTTAAAAATTAAGCTATCAAAATACATATCTAGCAGAGTATTTTATATATATATATATAAAATAATTTTAAATTGAGCAACTTACACATTACGATTACATGTGATGCAAATGTATTTAATTTACTTTTCATCAATTGATAAGTGAAATGTTAATTATATTTCGCTGGCGTGCGTTTATTGGTCTACATTCTACATGATTCTAATATTTTATTAGAGATACATGAAAAAAAAAACACAATTATACGTAAAATAGTATAAAAATTGCGATCGATACATCGTACTTATTGTTAGTTATTACGCGGATTAAGACACGCAAAGATGTGATAATCGTCAACTGGACAGTCTGGTACATTAAACTTTTAATCAATTGGCAGATGTGGAGCAATGGAATAAAGCAAAAATGTCAATTGTGAATCTGATGTACGCGGGTTTAACGCATTCTTCGCGAATTGATTGCTCTTAATTATTGCATTGAGGTCAAATGCAACTTTAGGTTAATTTACTGAAGGTTGCACTCGGTATCCTCGCACTTCGCTATTTACGCCTTTGACTGTTTCGCATTGTTGAACCAAACGATTGATCTCGCACCGCGAGGACAAAGTCTATTCTCGTAAAATAGCTACATACCCGTTTTTAGCAGCGTATATAACAATATATATTTTTAGATATTTAAAAATAGATACATGTGTCTAAATTATTTATTAAAGATTTTTATTAAAGATTATTAAAGATTCTTATTCAAGATTATTGTATAGAATAGAGAGAGAAAGAGAGAGAATTTTAATGTATAAATATGCATGTGTGTATTTAATTATTTAAAACTAAATTTGATAATTAATAAAATTTGATAATTATAATTAGACTATACAAAGTAGCGTCATGCGCTGCATTATAAAGTTCTAACGTGCAGATAACTCAATAATGTAAGGACACAAGTATCTAATTTTACGAGGAATTTTATATTTCTGTTCTAAGGTCATGGTCGCGATATAAATATCTGAGAAAAAGGAAATCATTATCTAATTGGCACAGATTGTTTCAAGACAGCGTGGTATGCGCACGTTAAGACAAATTACGCTGTTGAATGTTGTAACTACAATAATGAATGTCATTTGAACAAAATTTAAGAAAATGCAATTTTTACCGAGATGTATACCATATCAATTTTGTATGTATATAAAATTAATGAAGAATATATTTGTGTGTATTGTTAATGTTTTTGATCATTTCTATAGATTTATATCTTATTCATATCTTACATCTTATTATTCCATATAATTTTTTATCAATATGTGTTATTGTCTGTTAAATTTTTAATTAAATATCATTAAATTTACTATCATTTACTTTGAAATTTATTAAAAATTTAGTTACAAATTTTTTGATGATTCTGTGAAATTATAATAAGACTCACCTTTTGCAGTCCTAATCAACTTTCAGCAATCGTTGGCATAGGTTGTAACTTCCTCCGTTTGCAGTTTATGCCTACAACGGAAACCAAACAAAATTTCTAAGACGATATAATGCAACTTACATTAGTTCTAGTGATTATTCCAGTAGTCAAACACACATTTTAAAATACAGATATATCTCAACACACATTAACACATATACACGATTGCACGCAAATATTACGTTAATAATTAATTGATCAAACAAAACGTATACATTATCTAATTTGTTAGCGTGAACGAATATTCGTTTAAGCGCCCATTGAATACGTAGAAGCGAGGGTAGAGGAGAGAAAAGTAGGGTTTAAGTATTGTAATCAATCCTCCTAATTCTTACTTCCTCGACGCGCATCGGGGGGACCTGACGAGTTATGTAGCCTCATGCTTGGGACAACGTGGCTGGAATATGCCCGATGTACTAATTTTAGAGAGACCATCGGAAGGGACCTCTTTGCCAACGGGAATTATCTTGACAGGTATTTCAGAAGCGTGAGAAACAGTGACGCGGATATAAACGAAACCTGCAACGCTATAATTAAAGAAGAGAATACGTTTACGAGTTCTTTTACATCGTATTTACATGTCATTATACTTTCATAAGTAAATATGCAATTTTTATTGTTTAGATCTTCTTGCAAAAATACTTTTAAATATGTTCGTGTGAAATATATAGGCTACGTAATGATGAAGGAACACAAATTGTAAGATTCAAAAGTAATAATAAACACATCGCTTTTATACAATAAATAATATACATATAACAAATCATATAGCAAACTCGATCAATACATAAAGTAATATTCGGCATTTTCCGTTATAAGTAGCCTTTAATAAAAGGATAAGTTACACGATACACATTTTTAGTTATATTTTTCAAAATAAGTACAAAAAATGAATTGGAGAAAAATATTAAAATATTTGAAAATAAATCTTGACGAGATGAAATGCATGTGTGACATTCACAAAATAATAGCTTAACTTCAAATAATACATATTAGGATACGGTTCCATGTAACTGTATCAAGAGCATTGCAGTCAGTACTCTTCCATCCATTTAATCGTTCAATTTATTGAGTTCTGCGCTGACGCGCATTGTTAAATTTATCCGATGTAAAGTGAATAGAAAAGAAATTAAGAAATATGCATTTTTTTTTATATGTAGATAATTAGATTAATTGTTAAAATTGTTCGTTCGTAAAGATCGTTTGTGAGAGAGCAAATCAATCGTAATTAAAATAGATTAATTTTATATCGTTATTTTTTAGAGAGATGTATTAATATCAATATTAATACAATAACCGATTTATTAACACTAATGCGAATAATATCTTTTTCTTGACGATAAGTTAAAATATGTTAAAATTAATCGGTTTAAAAAACCAAATTTTGAAATAAGATTTAATCATAAAAAATTTAATTTTAAAATTATTTTTGTTGAAATAAACAAACGGTACATGGTGTAAAAGCGATATAATGGCTAAACAATGACAAAGTTTTTTTTGTCACACGATTGAAAAATTTGTCACTGTCATTGATGAATTCTAACGCAATATCAATTGAATCGAATAAGCAGTTGAATGCTAGGCTATTACGTAACAGTTCCCTCGTCGATCTTAATAACGGTCATTTAATCGTTTGTAACGTAAAGATTTATTTAATTAAAGAGCTTTGAGACAAATTTGCGCTCTGAGTCATTATGACAGGTGTAACAGCTTTCAAAAATATTTGGCAATTGTTTTTATCGTTGTTACCTAATGCGATTTAATTTTATAATTAATTCACGCGACATTTCCATGAAAACGCTTGTCGCACCATAATTGCAATAAACTGTCAGAGACAAATAGATCAATTTCATAAATAGAGATTTATTTTTATTTCTGCACATAACTATTTCTTTATGCGGGCAAAATTATTATTTTTTTTTGTTTTAATTTCCTTTTTACGAAAAGTTTGTACCTATCAGTACAGAGAGTGTGCTAAGAGGAATTAATATAGTTTTGTTTTATTTTTTCATAGATTTTGAAAATTCTTAAATGTAAACCTTGGCATTTTGATGTCTTATACAATTTTATATTCAAACAAAAATATTTCGCATAAATTAATATGTGAAGAAGCTAATACATGCAATGCATTACACCGAATGATATGATTAAATCCATAAATATTCTGAGCAAATCTATATAAATATTAATCAGAAATTAATTCTCGATCTTAGCATTATCAATATAGTTGTGGAATATTTCACAAAGAGGATATCATAGTCACACATTCACAATATTTACAAGATTCTATAATTCATGCAATGCAATTTAATGAACCACATAAATTTTGTAATTATATATAAAGAAATATCCAGGATCAATTAGCTTAATGGCTTTTTGCGAGCGTTTAATCGTCACTGAAAAAGAATCTGTCATCATTGGTGATATAATAGCCAATCGTTAGATACATTGTCAATGATAATAGGGACCGTTGATACTTGAAAGTATAGTTATGCTTAAAAAATACATAATTAGGGTTGAAAAGATGGATCAAGTATGATGATGTTTCGAAGCATCAGCTTTAACACGAGGAAGTAAAGAGAATGGGAAGCGATAAAATTCGCATCTCTCGCGATCAAAATATGATGATGACTCATTGTCAAAGCGGTCCATATTCGCCGTTTGTTTCGGACGTAAATTTCATGCTTCTTTCTGGCACGCGCGTTGGAACCTCGACTTACCGGATTAAATGCATCCGTAAATGCGACGGCAACTCTCGGTGGATGTAAAGCCGATTCTCTCTCCGAGGAGGCAACTACCCAGTAGTTGGCAGTTACTGCGTCAGCGACCGAGGATGTCTAGCGACTGTCCCGCACTACTTCAATTTCCACTGTGGTGTATGCATTCGGCATATAGCAACATATAGCAGCTCGTCACGTGATATATGGCTAGTTATAAAACGGCTTCTCGTAAATGCACGCGAGCGATGATTTAGCTACCGTAAGTCGGTCCCGCGCTGGGTACTTTTGCATCGTGGATCCGCGAAAGAATTCGAAAATCCGGACGAGAATCACCGTAGCGTCGATTAATTTCGTGCGATTTAAAGTGTTATACAAACAAAGTCTTAAACAGCTTAAACCTGTTTGGATAATCCGCAGTAATTGCTTTTTTTTATCAGAATTGTTTGGAGATTTATTGATCACATTCTTAAATTAATAAAAGATCTTCATAATAAATATAATACTCTTGTAACACATAACATAATATAAAATTTTTAATATAAAAAATAATATATTAATATGCGTTTATAATAGAAATATGAATAAAGTAATTAATCCAATATGTGTGCAATATGTTTTGTGTGTTGGTGACACACACGAGATGCGAAAATTCATGCGATCGGTGCACATGGTACATTAAAGCACGATAATAGTAACGAGGTGACATTCACGCTTTTTATGCGAAGGTATAATAGAATATTATATATACTTATTAACTCACTTTATATTTTGAAATCTCTGATTATTTTATAATAATATTAAAGTTTAATACATTTTGAAAAATTTTTATAGCAGTTATTTTTATTTAAATTAGATGCATATATATATACATATATATATCACATATTGCATAGTGTTTTACATGTATAGACAATTGTCATAACACAAGTTCATTAGTTTTAGTTTTCTATTATTGTTGTTTTGTTCACCGAGATAAAATCAATATTTTAACGACTTTAGTTATATCATTCGCATAAGATAATAAGCGTTTAGTCAATTTGTGTAGGTTTAAAATATTTTCATGAAGGTGTCAACATTTATCTTTACGAGAGCTCGAGACTTTCCGCGTTACATAAGTATTTCGAAACGGAAGAGCAGAATTTCCGACCTCTAAGATATTTATGTAATCTGCTGGTTAATCTTCGGAAAAGTCGCGAGGAAGTTTCGCTTCAAACGATGGGAAAGAATTTAGCCGCTAAAATTAGAGTCAGAGGAGCTTCGTTGATTGACGACCTGACAGATCAGATAAAGCAAAATTAATAAGGTATATATATCAAAAAAGAAACATAAAATTTAATCTGCACTAATAGTACACGAGCGTATTGATTGAATTCAAATGCGTTTTGTAATTATTATTTATTTTATAATTATATAATTTATATTTTTCCACAAAAGAGAATAGACTCTACAGATTATTTATGAAGCTTAATCATGTCGCACATATATATCGAATCTCTGACACTTACTTTATAAAACAGATGTGTAAACGAGAAATCGATCTCTCGCTCTCAGGAAGCTTATCTTTTGTTCAACACAAAATCTAAATTCTAAGTCTCTAATCTCTCACAAAATAAATTTTATATTGATTAAAATCTCTCGAAATTTTAAATGCCAGCGATTAAAAGTTGTCTGTTGCTACTAAGTATCTATCTAGCAATTCAACAGCTTAAATTTAGAAATAGATTTCGCGTAATAGATTTTTATGTTAGAAGTTTCTTGAAGAAACTCTGGACGGATGAGCTCAGTCAAAAGTTAATAAATTTAATATATTTCGAGATTTATGAATTTGACATTGCGCACACACACAAAGCACTTTTAACTTTTTAAAATATAAAATTAATAATTAAAATATAAGTTAAAGTAAAAACCCTGTAGAATTAAAATTTTTATTTTCATGGATTTTTGTGTAGTTACTATATTAAAATTTTCGTGGTACAGTGACTATAAAAAGTTAATTTAATATAAAATAATATTTACAATTTTGAGATTAAATTATATTTTACAGGGCTAGTCTCTTTACTTTTACTCACAAATTGATTATTATAATTTTATATTTTAAAAGGCAAAAAGTGCTTTGTGCGCAATGTCAAATTCATAAATCACGAAATGTATTAGATTTATTAATTTTTGACGTAACTGATCCGTTCAATCCCTTCTTAAGATTCGCGTTAGATTGACGTCAGGGAGATTACGTAAGTCAGACGCATTGTTGTCGATATATTTTCTCATGGCATTTTCGATCGATACAATCCGGAGATCATTCCCTCGTGTATAATAAAATTCAATTCTCTGTAAAGATTTGACCTCAATTTAATTTATTATGATGATTTAATAAATGATAATAAAATTTACATAAGTGAATGAAGATAAATGCATATAATTTTATTTCTTTTGACACGATGACTTTTAGCGGTTTTGGCAGACAACTATGACATATAGATTAACAATATACTCTCTAAATTGATACTGAGAACAATGTCCTAAACTGATAACAATTTTTTGAAGAATATAATTTTTACATAAAGAGCGTTTCTTTTCTCCACTATTTAAAAAAAATAATAATTGCATATAATTACATCAAATACTCTCACAAATCTCTTTGTTTCTCAAAATGTGTGAGGAAGCATATCATTATTTTAAAAACTCCTATAAGAAAAAATTGCACGTGAATGTATTTTAATATTTATAATATGCGAGATTGTCGAGCATCTTCGTAAGAAAATATTACGTAGATATCAAAAGATATGATAGCTTGTGATCCAGATTGATTACAATTGCAAGTAGCATTATTATCACTGTTAGTCACGATATCAACCGCTAATCTAAACATGTGCTAAATATATTCTACGAATGATGGTGCACCGGTCAACGAATGCAACCCTTCGCAACTTACGTTTGAGCTTATAAGGTATAAGTGAAATCCGTTCGAGGCACTTTATCACAGGTTATAACGTATATGATAAGGCTACAACTGAGGGATGAAAAATGCGATGTCGCGAATTCGTATGTGTGTGTGTGTGTGTATGGGTGTACACACCTCCTACATCAACCCCCTGGCCACGCATTCGGTTAAGTGTGTGTTTGTGCAACGAGAAAATCTGCTACGTGCGGTTGGGGCGGCCACGATGCCTTTCACTGTCTGTGAAAATTAGAGACGGATTCTCTTTGGGTCACACGGGGGGTAACTACCCTTTTCGCGATCCATACGATAATAATCTTCAGAGACATCTGGTAGAGGGTAGTGTAAACAGCCCACTAGACTTGCGCATGGAGTGTTTGGCTGGTTCTACTGACCGATCAAAGTGGGTCGTATCGACGGTAAAAGTTGCATAATAAATCTACAAAGAAGTAAAGTAACTTAATCGTTTAAAAACAAAAAAAGAAAAATAAATATTAAAATGTAACACAATTCTTTTCTGTCTTAATAAATATACGCATATATCAAAATCTAAAAATGTTTTTAAACTTTTCAAAAAGCTAAGGCACGGATCTCTCTTTTTCTCTCTTATCCTGCCAATAAATTCTATTTTCGTAAAGAAAATATTTAATTTTGTTGGAAAGAAATAATAACTTGGAAACAAATAATTAATATTAAAAAAAAGTATTTTAGCTTTTATATCAAGATTTTATCAATTCTTTTCCATTTATAATTATGACCGTGTCATGATTATGTCACGAGCAAAATAAGATAAGAGAACGTATATAAATCTGACATTTCATCGAAAATAACTATATTCTCTACTTCTGCATATAAACAAATAATTATAAAAATGATTGACGAGAAGAAATCTCTACGCAATTATCTATGGCGTGCAATATAAAACTGGTATCATAACAACTCATAACTAAATATTTTGCCGGCTCAAGAAAAAAAATACTTCGCTGCGTGTGTTTTAAGCGTACAATAATATGATATTCATTTGTACATACATAATCAATATTGATCGTCTGGAAACGAATCTATATAAAATGAAGATGATAACAGAAGATGATATTGATGAATACGTTCGTTTTTAGGCATTGACTTATATCACTGAAATATCGATTCTTTCTTACGTAACGATTCATCGCATGGTAAATGTATATCATATGTACATAAATAATATTTTGTCTACCATTTTAAAACTCAACAAAAATAGCGGTCAAAAGTATATTATATATGTATAATTTTATAACTGTATAATTAAATAAAACAATCACTATATGATTAAATTCATAAGTCGCCCACAATGTATCAATAATTTTGGAAAAGAACACACAAAATCGAAGTTTGGCAGGAGAAGGGGAAAAGGGGGAGGGGAAGAGGGCCGGCTCCAGATGGTATGTGTGTGAAAATAAAATTACTTTTATTTATAATACAATAAAACCTCTTTTTACACATCTCACGCTGATCTAATACTGACATTGACATTTAACATTTCGAGGATTCGATCGCGTCTCGTTGTTACAGTCCGTCTACTCGCGCACAGTACTTGCATATATTGAAACGCACAGAATTGACACATGCATTTAGGAACTTCATTCCGTCCTCGACGAAACCGAAGTATTGTTACGGCTCTGCCGTAACACCTTAACGTTATTTCGGTCCGAAGCCTCTAAATGCGACACTATTTATAGATACACTTACTTCTAGCGACTTCAAACTACGTATCACATCGTCGATTCGTTTCTCGCATCCGAGAACTGTTTCTGTTCGCTATCCTTCTATCTCCCACCTTCCCCCGCCTCCGCTCTTGGCAATTCTATTGCACAGTTCATCGAGCTGGCACTTCACGAGAACTTGGTGATGATTTTACTAAGACTCGTGTAGGTGCCCACGATTAGGCCCAACACGCCGATTAATATTAGGCACATGTTCTTCGCCAGCATAATCTTCTTCTCTGTGGGTCCCATCACCTTCCAAAAGGCGCACAATTGTATGATCGCTGGGAATGCTAGTCCCAAACCCGATAGACAGAACGCACCGAATAAGGATATAAAGAGATCCAACTCTGGGACCGTGACCGCCAGACCAACTGAAACAGATAGTGCGCACAGATTGATAAATTTATTAATTTAAATAAGATTACTTAATTTAATTCGCTTTCCTATATCACAGGCATGATAACATAATAAAGAAATTAATTGAACAAAATTATCAAACTAAAGAAAAAAATAGTATTCTAACTTGAACAAGAATTTAAAATAATATTAATGAGATTTAATATTTCCCTTTGCTTTTTTTTAATAAAAAAATTAATGACAAACTAAAAAAAATAAATATAATATAGCTTCATAGATGTGTTATTTTTAAGATGTCTGAATATCAAAATTAATCAGGAGCATAAGATGCTGCTCGTGAATAAATAGATAAACTGATCTTGTTGCATTTAAAACGTTTCATTGTCCACGACCCTCGATTTATCGAAAAAATCAAATATACTCACAAGTAATCAAAATAATGACAGTCCTGACCACATACTCCCAAAGCAGCTTGTAACGATACTTCTCGAGAAGAGGACTGATATACTCGTTCCATGATATATCGATGGCGACATAACATTGGATAGGATGCGTGAAGAAGATGGCAATGGCGAGAAGGATTTGTACCGCGATTCCCAGAGGCTCTTCATGGGGTAGATTGAGTGTGATACTACCGTCAATCTCTTTACCAAAACGTATGTACCCAAAGAATCCCAAGGTGGCATACATCGTGACTATAATGCTCATAGCAATGTTGAGCACGCCGAATGGTTTCATGAAGGATCTCGGGGTTTTCATCTCGTTTTCCAACGGCATAATCTGTAAACGAATGATAAATAAATTTGAGCTTAATATGTATGTGGTTTTTTTGGCTAAACCGAAAAAAATTTAAATTTTTGAAAATAATTTAAATGTTGTAAAATATTATTTAAAGGCAAGTTATACGTAAAATAGAAAAGAATATAGCGACTGAAAAACGTTTTCTCAATAATTCAATAATTATTATAAAAATGTTACAACACTGTGTGTTATTTTTTACATAATAGTATATTCTTATATTTTTATTTATTATGCTTTTTTATTTTTATTTATTATGCTGCTTTGTGTGAAATGTCCACCATTTCGTTTCGATCAATTACTTACTACGCCGATGGATTCGAGAGCAAACAGAACAGTGCCGAAGAAGAGCGGAAAATTCTTGACCTCTCCAATTGATTCGCGATTCTCGAACGACAACGGCTCTCGAAAGATAAAGTAAAGTATGATCGCGAATCCGGCGAACATAATAATATTCGCAATTGTCGAGAACGGTGCCAGGAATTTAAGATTCCTGATGTAATTAACGAAGATCAGGGGTAACAGCAGAATCGCCATGTATATCTCCAATTCCATTGAAACAATCGAGCTCAATGCCTAAAAAGAAGAAAAGGAGAACGTAATTATTCAGATGCGAAATTGAGATCTGATTTTAATTACATTTCTAGCTTAAAATATGCATTTAATTTTTCTTTGGAAACAATTAAATACAATCATTTCATTCTCAAACATCTCGTTGAATCATTAAAAATTTCATTTTAATACATTTAATGAAGGAATTTTGTGTGTCTCTGTAAGTCATATCTATCTTTGAATAGTAAGATTGACTTCAAAGTATATTAATTCCGAAATGTAATAAATGAATAGTATTTGCGTATAGACAAAATTTCGTAGCTTTTAACATTTTCGAATAAAGATGATTTAGGATGAAAAATGACGCAAACTTCTCATGCACAATGTTCGAATGCAGGCGCTAACAAGTTTAAAGTCTGTTTTCAGTTTTGTAACCTAATGATAAATCAATTAAACGCATGATGCTGTTACGCAATTTATTACGTGTTAAATAGTACCTCGACACACGCGAATCGTATCTATAAATAGAAAAAATATAACAAAAAGACGGAATATCCAATATACTCTAATAAATTCTTACGAAAAGAATAACAACGCTACTGAATTCCGTTAATATGACTAATCACATTGACAATCATGTGTCGAGAGAAGTGTAATCAGCACTTCTGTCTTGTATTTACATTTGACATTGAATTCGCAGTTAGATCGCGTGTACAAGAGATTTCTCGAAACGCTTATACATACCGTCCATTTTCTTGTCAATGCGATCTTGATCTCATCACCTTCGCTATGCGTGTCTTCAATAGAGAACTTTTCGCCGTCATTACGCGAAAAGTTCATCTCCGTTTATGACACTTACGTGTTTCGATTTCACGTAGCATCTGAAAGCGACGCACGGATGACATTATTTTTTCGCTCATCTTCTCATTCATTCGGAATTTCGTTGAAAATTAAATTTGCGTATTTTTTTGATGTTGACGTGACGTAAAGTTAATAAAAGTCATCTTTAAAAATTTATTTAAAAATATTAGCGTAAAAATCAATTCCTCAAATCAAATCAATTTATTGTCATTCTGTTAAAATAACTTTTCATACACTGGCGTTGATTCTATTATCTTATATAAATCGTTTCTTTGAAAAAAGAAAGACTCGAATGTGTTTTAAATAAATATTACAAATACATAAATAAATAAAAAAGTTCAATAGAGAGAGAGCTATGGATTATAATATATGTTACATATCGCTTTTAAAACGCCAGCTCAAGTCTTCCCAATCGTTTTATAACTATAATATAAAATATTCGTAAAAAAGGTGAAAATTTTTTGAATAAAATTAATTTTCAACGAACATTGCCAATTCTTGAATAATTCCAAATAAACGTGAACATGAGTAAAAAGATTTCACAGTGCGTGCGTCATTGTATCTCAGATTGCTAATTTATGCAACGATAATGTATCTCCACAAAATATACCTTGTATACTTTTAAAATAAGAAAGAAAGTTAATATTAAAACCCGCAGTCGAAAATAAATGTCACCATGCACGATTAATCTCGTATGTTAACGAATTTTTTATATCACACCGTCACGGTTACTTTGAAGATATACACGTTCATTTCAAATTTTCTATTTGTCACGGCTGATTAAGAATTTAAGATTGCGATTCCTAAGAATATTTTACAAGATTAATATATTTATATTTATGTAACATTTTGCGAGTGTTTGTGATTAACAAAGAGCATCGATGCCACGCAGTTTTGCAAATATCTAAGTAATTCGGACGTCAATTTACAACTTCGCTATCGCACTTAACATACTGTCATTACTACGTTTTGATTTCAAGGGCAGGCGGAAATGGGCGCGTTACCATCATCTAACGCCTGTCGTTTATCGCTGTCGGATCTAGTCTTATATAAGATAGACACAATGACGCGCCATTGACAATGTGCTCTCAATTAGATGCACTCTTGAAAGTTAATTTGCATTTAGAAAAATTGTATTTATAATATAAAGAAATATTTGTGCGCCCAGATCCATTATCATCGACTACATATGCTTATTAATTATCGTTCAATTGAGAGATATATGTATATTTTTTATAGATAGAGAATCTTTCTCTCTTTCTCTGTTTATAAAATGGTTATTAGTATTGACGTATATTTGATAACAGAAACAAAAAGTACAAGATATAATTTTTCTTTTAATCTTCAGCGTGACTCAAATCTGAATCACCTTGAAGACTTCGATTTAGAAAATGTGTTTAATTCTTGTCTCATCCTGACGATCGCAACGATAGAAAGATACCATAGTGCGATTTTTCGTTACTCGAATATTGCTCTTGTAGCGATTAATTACGATACTTAATTCTTTGTGATAATCAATCATACGTAATCAGTTAACTGTTTGCCATATGTAGCACCTTGTGATTCTCAATTAAAATTAATCTCAATTAGAGACATCGCTGTAAGAATGAAAATAATATTTTTTTGTGTCCTTGTAATCGTGATTTTAAAATATATAAATCGGTAAAATAAATCAAAAAATAATTTATAAAAAATAAAAAAAAACTTTTGTTAACATGATGCTGTAACGAAAGTAGAAAAAAAATATTGCCACAATTTATAAATACATTATATTTTGTTATTTATTGCACAAATGACTGATGTACTTATCAAGATAGTGCAAATATCAAGTAGACTGCTTATCAAGATACTACAAATAGCGTTACGGTCCGTTAATCATTGCTTCTATACTTGTCGTTTACGTATATATGCTACATTCTGCAAGGCTAGTTTTGTGTGTATAATTAGTATAATAATATCTCAGATAAGAAATCTCAGCAAAAACAATGAAATAAATAGCTGAAAAGCGATTATTTCTTTGACAATTATTAAACATAGAAATTGCAGTTTGTATACTGCACCAGAACGGATTTAAAGTCTCTAAGAATTTTAAGGGAAATATAATTAAGAGATCAAAAATTTATTTTTAAAGATATATTAATATCTTAAAAATTATCTGTGTCTCATGTATATGTGTTTGATATGTCGATTAAAATCAGACCCCAGTTTACTGGTAAATCCACTGGGATATTACATAAAGCGCGTTAAATTGCCTTGTGTATTGGAGTGAATAACCCGCTAGAAACTTCCGGATAGAAATAATTTATCAGCGTATTTATTACAGCGTATATAAATGCGACTGTGTACGAGCATGCGAGCAACAACCAAACTAATTGATTTCTCTATAACTTCTACCTTAGTTAGATTTGTATGGATTCTCGAAAAGAGCCCTTAAAGATCCCAAGTTTCACCCTTTCGGAATTTTTTAAACTCCAATAAGAGACTTGGCTTATATATCGATAATATCATCATCAATTTCATATTTTAACTATTTAAAACTTTGAATATAACGTTTGTTATATTCAAATACCAATGTAATATTATATGTAACTCATTTGATCTTTTTTTTTCTTCTTTTATATGTTTTCCAAGCTTTTTTCATTTTTTGAGAAAGAATTTTTATCTCCAATAATGTCTAATACACATATATTTGTTCAATCATTTGAAAGAGACGTTTAATGTTTATCTTGACATTTATTCAATTAACGATTAATCAACTTTATGCGTCTCGGCTCCATTCACTTCACATCCGACCCTGAAGTCAGGACGCTCGTTCCTACGTCAGTTTACGTGAATGCATTTGTTACATCCACTACGTACACTCTATTTACTTACTGTAATAACACGCATGTCGTAACTATAGATAACTATCTATTACATTGCATACTACGCAACGCCTTCCAATGCTGGTGATTAAGGTGCTGTCCACATAAGGCTTAGACCCATTAACTTAGTGGAAGATTGCAATACAAATATGTTGTAATGCATTTATATTTCGCAGCAAGCGTGCAAGCATTTTTTTTTAATGTAAATTATATCCCTTAAAGATCCCAAGTTTCACCCTTTCGGAATTTTTTAAACTCCAATAAGAGACTTGGCTTATATATCGATAATATCATCATCAATTTCATATTTTAACTATTTAAAACTTTGAATATAACGTTTGTTATATTCAAATACCAATGTAATATTATATGTAACTCATATTTGATCTTTTTTTTCTTCTTTTATATGTTTTCCAAGCTTTTTTCATTTTTTGAGAAAGAATTTTTATCTCCAATAATGTCTAATACACATATATTTGTTCAATCATTTGAAAGAGACGTTTAATGTTTATCTTGACATTTATTCAATTAACGATTAATCAACTTTATGCGTCTCGGCTCCATTCACTTCACATCCGACCCTGAAGTCAGGACGCTCGTTCCTACGTCAGTTTACGTGAATGCATTTGTTACATCCACTACGTACACTCTATTTACTTACTGTAATAACACGCATGTCGTAACTATAGATAACTATCTATTACATTGCATACTACGCAACGCCTTCCAATGCTGGTGATTAAGGTGCCGTCCACATAAGGCTTAGACCCATTACTTAATGGAAGATTGCAATATAAATATGTTGTAATGCATTTATATTTCGCAGCAAGCGTGCAAGCATCTTTTTTTAATGTAAATTATATATTTCGTATAAAATAAAATGTTTTTAATCATTTTTCGTTAACCGTTCCTTCAAATCTAAATTCGTCGATTTTCATTGAATTCACCGGAAGCAATTGCCTTACTCTTTATCTACAATTGACATTGTTCGACCCGTTAAATAAAAGTGCGAAGGTTTTATTTCCTAAAATGAATCATATGCGTTTCGCATGATTAGCTCGCTGGGATTTGCAACCAACTTTGAAAAGACATAGTTAAAAAAGAATTCTACGCTATTATATACTATAAGATCCTTATGTGAACGGCACTTAAGTTAACATTTGTCCGACTTTTGCAGACGGTTCCCATTTAATCTTATACTCTTGATAAGATTCTACTCGTTTCGCGCATAGAATCTCGCGTTACAACAAAATCTCGTGCGACCGGCGAGATAGTATACAATTTCATAATAAATCATTCTGCACACGTGTACAATCTCGCACAATGAATCCGGCGTGGGATACAAGAATATGGAACAAATAAAATTGACATAAATATGTCAATTTGTAATTTTCATAATCCACGCGAGAGACGCGACGCGACGCGGCTCTTATCATTTAATGCCAGAATTTCAAAACATACGCAATAAACAACGCTCAAATAAAAAAAATATATTTTTTTCCTTATAATAGGGATTATATACAAACGATATTGTCTTTCTCGCGACTTTATATGTCGAATCGCTTGTTGAATATGTAACAAACATATCGATGCACTAAGCGTTATATATTTGTTATCGTAAAACGACTTATGTTACAAAACAAATTGTAAAAATGATTAATCATATAATATTTATTCTACTCGATATAAATCTTTTGTAAAAGTAAAAAAAAATCAAGTACGTTAATAGCATAATTTATTAAAATTTATATTGGTCAATTCTATCCGTCTTTTTCTCTTCCTTGGCTTTATTTAATTTAATTGATAGAGATAAAATTTGTAAGAGCAAAATTGTCCTTATAGAATTCGGATAAATTTGCACAAGAAGGGACCATATTCTCTCGATTTCGATCCCGTGGACGTAACAACGTGGAAAATGTCGATGGCCGGTGGTCTACGTTAGGTGCAATCACCTTGAATCAACCGCACGCACATTAATTAGCGACTGTTTACTCGTGTATTCTCGCAGCGTATTTTTCCCTGACCCAGATTATTGCCATTTCTACCTGCCTACGCGTTTTAAATCGGACTTAGTTAGCGCACTTAGGAAAAACCACAAACGATTTATCGACTGATGTGTAAACGAGTATGGAATGAAAATAATATGTGCGAGATTAAATTACGACAAAATCGTATACTATAAAATTTATATAACTCAATATTATAACAATTATTATAATAACATTCAATTATTATAACAACATTATTTATCGCTAAAACTCATAACACTTTTTTGTTAACACTCGACTCTTTTTATTGAAGACGACGTGCCAAATAATTTAAATCAGATTTTTTTTTGCAGTATGTCTCGCATCGATAACGAGTACAAATTTACAGCCTAAACAACAAGTAGAAAGACTGTATTCCACTTAAGGAGGCATACTCGTTTGAACCTTCGAAAAATGAGTACATTTTCTAGATTTTTTGCAGCGATTTAATAAAAACTTTTTTTTTTACGATATTAATACAATATTATTAAGTACTTAAAATAAAAAAAATTTTAGCTTAAAAAGAATTTTTTTTTGAAAGTTATGCGAATATTTGTAGATTTATGTTTTCATGCACGGTGTGCCACTTAAAATTTGGAGGTGCTCTGCAAGCAAATATTCCCATAACTTTAAAAAGAAATTTTTTTTAAGCTGGAAATTTTTATTTAAGTAATTAATAATATTGTATTAATATTGTAAAAAAATTAAAAATTTTTATCAAGTCGCTCTGCAAAAAAATCTAGAAAATGTATTCATTTTTCGAGGTTTCAAACGGGTATGCCCCCTTAATGGTTAAACGTGACTGTCCAACTCGGATTCACTTTGCATAGGCATCGCAGATGAGTAACGTGCACGAACGAACAATTACATGATAATTCAATGATAAAATTCTAACATTGAATACCGTGATGTCAAATAGAAAGCGTAACGCGTTACGTATTCCAAGTATAGTGGGGACACTCACCGTTTTTAGATTACGGGAAATGAAAACGATGTAGACGCAGCAAGTGCCCATCTGGTATATCATCAGGAAGATGTTTATTATGTGTCTGCGAATACGAAAAACAAAAGAATCTTTCATGAAACACAGGTGCGACTTGAGAGCTTCTATTATTAGATATATTCTATGATTGTCTTATTCTAATTATATCCTTGTTATTTTAATAAAAGTATTATGTGTATGACACAAATATTAATTGCTTAATATATACAATAGAGAGAGAGAGTAATTTAAGTATTATTATTAGTTGTCTTTATCAGTAACGGTATACGTGAAATATACAAGAAATACATAAACATGATTTTTTCTCTCTCTATTTTTTCTCTGTGAAATACATAAGGTGTCTAGAATTAGATAAAATATAATTTTATCTAATTCTAAAGAAGTGTGATACACACGTATACACTTACATAGAGGCTTTAGAAAACCGCCTGAGAAACACTGGTCCTTCGAGCAGAGCGGATTCCGCGGTTGCCGGATATGTCATGGATGGCACTCTTCTCCTCTTGCACAATTCGTACTCTGAGAAAACAAGTATTCGCATACAATATGTACAAAGTAGCCCTATGATGATCGTGGCTATCAGACCGATAATATATCCGGCATGGTCAAAAGCTTTCGGCATCGCGAGAATTCCGGTGCCTAAACTGCCTTTTAGCAAGTGGAGCAATGTTTCCGCGTTCCTGAAAATTCACGTTGCAAAGAAATTAGATGTTTATCACTGCTACACGTTCGTAATTATATCAAAATTATAAAATCTAAATTAATTTATGATAGACTTTTATGATAGAAAGCATTAGAAATCTTTACATGCGTTTTCATGATTTGACACGCGTACTGCTCATTGATGTTACAGATGTATACAGATAAAGTAATGTTTGTAAAATAAATATTTAGTGCGCGTATATGTTTAAATATGGAATTAATTAATTCAAAGTTGATGAGGATTGTATCAGTAGCGGTTATAATAATTTATACATTAATTATGACAGAGAGTTATGCGTCAAGAATTTCGCGTTTTCACCAGGAAGGTGAGTCATCGAGTCTTTCGATTTGATTATTTGAGTACGTAGGAAATTACGTTAATAAGATGCTTAGCGTGAAACGTGCAGGGAATAATCAACCGTCATTTCGCATGCAAAGAAAGTACCGTGCATTACATAAACATTCTTGGTCATCTAGAATGACACATTGTATCGTTTTTCACTTTGATTAAGCCTTCAATAAATCAAGTGCGTCTTGATAAGCACCGATTGGATAATTTCAACAACATGTCGTACAATGATTGCGTCCTAATCCCGTTTTATTAATTGAAAGATTTCACAAATACAATTGGAAACAAATATCTCTAATATCGTAAGATTTATCTAAATGATAAAATATAAGGAAAGATGTGTCACGTAGATATTTCCACAATCAGAAATATTTTCTTTTTAATACTAGCATGTAAATTCACTTTTCGTATCGCGGAAACTATCATACACGTGCAACATTAATTTCTTGCAAGTGGTTGTTTATCATTTTTAAGTGCGAATAGTATGCTTCTATTTTTTTATTAGAAAAAAAAAATAATTGAGCTTTCTCTCTTTTTTCTATTAACTTAATTTTAATATCACTTTTTAATAACGAATTTAATAACAGAAATATCGATCGATTCGGCGGCTTCTTGATAATATTTTCTACTGTCTTAATTTATCTATATTTGATTTTATATTTATACACACATACATACAAATATATTAAAGCGCAAAAATATATTTTAGGAAACGATACTCACGTAGTCGGATGCTCCACTACTCTATAATCATATGGGTCATAATCGTCGTCCTGCTCATCTACATTCTTCGTCTTTTCTTCGAGTTCCAGAGAGTAAACACTGTCACGTTTCTCATTCGATCCGTAACTGTAAAAATGCTACCTTCATACAAAATCTTAAGCTCAAATAGATACGTATCTAAAAATTATATTTTTTGAGATATAATAATAATGAAAAATAGAGTATCACATATATAACAAATGTAACAATATCTTTTTATACTAATCTTATAGATTACAGTGTTAACATTTTTTGTTAAAATTAGAAGCAAAAGATCTTGGATAGTACATTTGGATAATAAATAGAACCGTGCTCTTTATATTCACGAAATTTATGATGTGATACTCACCTATTTTGGTACTCCTTAGATAACGAAGATTTTTTAAAATCTTGCAAAGCAACCTATAAAAAAGAAAAAACAAATAGTAGATTCATATGTAGTAGTAACGGATATATATAGATGCATAAATAATTTATCATGAAGAATATTGTATCAGCACATAACATTTTAACTCTACATATAAACGTATATATTTTTCTCTTTCTCTCTCTTTCCCAAATTACAATATTTATTGAAAAATTATATATATAAATATATATATATGTATTGATAATTATTAATTATTAATAGCTAACAATTTTAGGCATTGTTTATGAAATAATTACAATCTACCATTTCATATTCTATTTTATATTTCTTAAAAAATTACGATTTTATGAAAACATTTATATATAATTTACAGAACATACACACGCATACACTTTTATGTCATTTTGTTACCCAATACATGATGCAGACTATAATATATATGTATTACCTATATATGACGAGAACAATGTATAATATGACAATGATAGAATTTACGGATTTTAGTTGAGTTTATTCATTTATACATGCGAGAATAATTCTCAAAAGAAGACTACGGTTTTTTAAAATGCGTTTTTTTCAATTACTGTTATTATCATGCTAATCCGTACGCGATATGCATCGAGCTCGAAGTAATTTAGTTTTCAACGACGAGTTTCGAAACTGCGCGCAAACTCGAGAAGTTGACAAACTCTCTTTAAACATAAATATAAAATTTAGAATATAATTCATAACCCTGAAGGTATACATTATACGCATGATTGCACATTGATTAATTGCTTGGAAATAAATGTATAAATGTATGCGTCTCCTTGTCTTCCTTAATCATCCTGTGATATTCCACGCCTGCAGCTATAGACATTAATTTTAATAAGAAGTTTCACTAGGCTTTTTCCGTTCGTATAATTCAATCGATTGCGCGCAAACGCAATTGTCTAATATTAGTATATGATTGTTTCACGCTCAATTTCAGTCGCGATAAATTTTCCTCTTCGAATTTTTCTCTTCGACGATATCTTTGAATATCTCCGTGTAACGTGTGTTTAATCCATCTTTTATATAATTAACCATAACTATAGTTTTCGTATGTATAAAAATATTATATTTGTAAATTTTATCGTCAATAAATTTATTGAGGTAAAAATTCTGGATCTAAACAGATAAATTTTACGACTCTATCGTCTCAATAAATTTATTGGTCTAATCGCGGATAAATTTTACGATTCTACCTTTCTGCGATCTTAAACCGTAAATTGCGGAAATTGCCGGCTGACATTTGCATAATTCTTTTCAAGTGATTGATACGACTTCTTTACATGCTGTTAAGGCTTTAAATGCAACAAGTACGGGAAATTTTCTCGCGTTATACTGTGCAAAACCCACAAATTGCATAATGCGCGGATGCGATCATTTAATACGTCCTTCAGAACGAAAAGACTACGCCCACAAAAGTAATGAGATACGTCGTTAACGACATAAAATTTATGCGATAGCAAATACGATGGAAAATTCCTTCGCCGAGTTGTTCCGACATTATTTAATAATCAAACAAAAAATATAGACTATCTAGTGTAAACATATGAAGAGAAGACGTTACAAAAAAGTTTCCATTATATCCAAATATGTCAATAATATGACACATCTATCTAATAATATCTCTGCTTTATATGTGTGTGTATGTGTATGATAGGATCTTTTTTTATTTTCCAATATTACGTTTATAAGAATATATTCGCAATTTTACGTATTTATTTTTTGCACGTTAATGTTTATATAGGTAAACAATGTACATATCAATATAATTGATATATATCAAATGTATATCCCTTAAATACTCGTACGTTTCCCCTCTTTTTTCATGATACAAATATTTTTCCATAAACAATAAAATTATTTAAATTTGATGCAATTTATATGTATTGATGAATTAATAATGTTTAATTGTTATGTTAATAATGTGTCAAGTTGTTAAAAAGAAAATATAATTATCTGGTAACGTATTTAACAGGCCAACGTGTTACCAATGATTGCTAAGAAAGACATAACTCTTTTAGTAAATATGCAATCGTTCACGCAAAGTTCTTGTTTCCTTGTCTCGCCGTCTTTTGTAAGGAGATTGAAACGTCTATTATACGTGCCATTTAGCAGTAACTAAATCATTTAAATCATTTGAATCATTTAAATATGATTATAAACACTCCTTATTTGCATTTTCCTCTGGTCTTATATACGTTCATTATACAGTTGTCGCATCACATATGTTCGGCATGTGATGCGTGCCGCACACGCCCAATTAATTATGGATTATTTATTTGTGTGAGCATCAATTTGCGAAACGGAATACACAGGTAAATATTGTTAAGCAGACAGATGAGCCATCTTCTGCCTATCTTTCCCGGGAACGGAATTTCTTTTGTCAACACTTTTGTTAGAGCCGCTTATTTGCGATGCTATGATAATTATAGATTTTCGTACCTTTAGTATTATTCTGCTTGCTGCTTAGAAATCTGGTATAATTCCAAGTTGATCGTTTTTCGCGTGGGGAAACGCGATACATATTGTGTACGTTTATTTTCCAAACATCTATATTTCTTCGACAAATTTGACATTCAAGAATTCGAGGAACCAACAACGCACAAAGTATGAATATGTACAAATCAAACACTCAAGTTTATTTTATCGCTTAATAATTTCATGTACATATACATAATATCATTAATGTTTTGCGTTGGCAATTAGTCAGCCCAATGCAGCAAATCTAAATTATTAACACATTAAAGTCCACTAACGTAATATTATCTACGTGTATATCATCACGTAGACAGTACTACGTCAGCAGACTTTAATGTGTTAACTTTCAATATCTGAAAATTAGTTATTAGCTTTCTGATATCAGATAGGTGAGACGAGATTAGAAAACGTAAAAGAAAATGAATGGAATATGCATTCGAGTAAGTTCGTATTATCGTATTTGTGTAACTGAATGAAATTTACACACAAACGCTTATTATCATAAAACCTTTCAAACTAACAATAAGTAATACATATATAAAATTGTAAATTATTGTTAAATCATTTTTATAATAAAGTATCATATATTAATTTGATATTTTTTATAATAAGCACACGCTTTACTAACAATACATATGCTAATTGTTCAAATCGCAACTATTCGGAGCTAAGTTGTACATACACAGCGGACAAATTTTTTTTGTATTACATATATTACGAAATTATTTATTCGAAATTATTAATCGTGTTTAAACATGTGCATGTCTGTAAGTACTGCGTAAACATCGCAAAATTAATCTGTGTTATATCGAATTAAACGAATTAAATTCGCGAATAATACCGATAAATATACCGATAAATCGATAGCTTTCTACCGAATGTGATCAAACTGATACAAATCAGAATAATAAATATTAGCGATCGCTATTAATCGATAACGAGACTTATATTGATAACATGAATAAACTTTGATAAAAAAAATTGAGCGATAACATTTCAATCAACAATTAATGTGAATCAAATTTGAAAGGTTCTTTTGCCACTTCTGTCCACATTTCATGCACTTTTTTATTCGCAATTCTGCAATGTTTAAAATTAACAATTTTCCGAGATATACAAAATAAGGAAAAATTAGAAAGATCCGTTAAGATAGATACTGACTCTTTGTTAGAAAACTTCTTTTATAAACAAAAATTTTACCTATTGTAGATCTCTAATAAGAAGATATCCCAATTTTATTATATATCCAAATAAAAATATTTTAATTAATTTTATAATTTTTCGAAATTCTTTAATTTTCTGAATAGATTTCTTGCGATTTTTTCTTTTAATCTTACTATGTTTTCTGTAAATATTTGAACTAATTATATTAATTCAAATTTGCTAATGTCCATACTAAAAAAATATTAAATATGCGTTTCTGAAGCATAACGTTCAAATCATTTTGTTGACGATTTAATTTAATAATATATTAAATTCTTAATAATATAAATTTGTTAAGTAATATTGCTAAAATAAAAATGCAAAAAATTCTCTACCATTGAAATATATTTTATCTGGTTAGAATATATTTTATACTATGCATATATATTTTGCATATGATATAGTAATCGGTTGTTGAATAAAGAGACTTGTTACGTGCGCACACACCGCGATTGAATATATGTATCTATTACACAAGCTGTATCTCAATCGAGATAAAACCGGTATTCTCCATGCCAGAGTTCCAGGTTGCCTTAGAGCTATTCAATCAGTGTATGCGGTTACGATCTTTTTATTTTCCGCGGTGTCATGTATGTGTGTATCTGTGTCTATGTGTTAGATATTCATTATGATTACATATGCATTACACTGTGCTACACAATGTAGTTCAAAAATCGTGTATATATAAAAGGCGTATTTGCGAAAAGAAAGATTCATCTCTCCTATGTGTCTTGTTTGTGACAAATGCGCACGTTTAAGCCATCCTTATCAATGTGCGGAACATTTTCAGCAGCCTAACAGAAATAATCCGTGCGAAATTGTTATCAGGAATAACTTCCAACATGATATACCGAGCCGCTATAAATCATAATTAAATTTGATTGAGTATAATCATTGAAGTCGGATATATAATTTTACTACTAGAGAAAAAAGAAATAATTCACAATATATATATACCATCATTCGTCGAAGTAAGTAAGGAAAAATTAAAACGTGTCGTAATGCTCAGGTCATATGTTACAAAGGAATTCAATAACATCATGAGAAAGAGAGAGACATTAAAGTATATTTAGACGTTATACAAACTTTAACGCGCAGTATAACAATTATAACAAAAGAATTAAATCAGATGCTCCCTTTTCAACCAAAGATAGGCAAATGAAAAGATAACAGAGGAAACTATTGCGGCATTCGATATTCAATCGAGGATACTATGGGTGCAGCGTTTCCGTTCCAGAATAAAAGAGATCAACGACGAAAATTATGATGCAACTATAGATCCAATTTATACAATTATAGCATCATATAGTACGTATATATTACTGTATTTACATTTTATTTCAACACAGTTAACGTTAAGTGCTAAGCATACTTCTGACGTAAAACTTTAGGTAAGTTTCCTTTGGAATAAAATTAATTTAATTTATTGAAATTCTTTAACATGCATTCGATATATTAAAGATTTTTTAATTAAATATTCCTTGAAATATACACCGGGAAAAAATCGACTCCATGTCTATTCAAGGTCGTTTAAAAGTCTAGAGTGTGTACAAGGGGAAAGGCACAAAACGCACTTCGTATAACAATTCAAATATACTTTCGAATAATCGTGCACGCCTAAAGGACAAGTATTGTATCCTGGTTGCCTTCGACGACAAAAAAAGCGAGAAGAAAAAAGAAAAGGAGGGCGCAATTACAAAGTCAGTCGCGGGAAGGACATTTCGCGTAAAAGCTAGTTGTTGGACTCAGACAGTAGACCAGTTTGGCTCGATACACTTACTAGTATTTCCTTATTGTGCAATAGCTTAAATAATCACCGATTATTATTCGCATAAACGAGCAAGAAACACCGACGGCGTCAACGACGCTATTACGCGCGCATTACAAAAAAAGATCGAGCGAATGAACGATTGTCCTTCGACGTTCGAGAGTTTCGTTCGCGCAAATATATATACCGACGCAAACTTTCCACTCTCATGACCGGGCTCATGAACGAAACATCACGCAATCATCCAAGCTGTCGAAAATATCAAGTGCGCAATAACTACCTAGGTTTATTATTATCCTCTCTGTCCTGTATATAATCATTTATTGCTATTAAAAAAAAAGATACCGACAGCTCTACGGAATGAATTTAAAGGTAATTATTCTTTACTGTGACTGTGTCATATTGGTATGTAAATCATTTCGAATGTTATATCTTTATCGTGTAACTCGTATATATTTCTAAAGCGTCTTATTTTAATAACTTTAAATTTAGATCTTTCATGATTAAACGTTGCGAATAAATCAAAGATCTTTTTACGATTGTGCAAAGATTCAGATTTTCGAAAACTAATAGCCTATTTTAATTTTTCAAAATTTTGTAACCATTTTTATTTAATCTCAATTTTAATTTTTTTATACTGTTATTTTGTAGCTTATTAATATATTAAACTTTTAATAACATGAAATTTATCAAATAATGTTAAAACAAAAATGTAAAAAATTCTATTACCAAAATGTACGCTTTCAAATATGTATATCTTTTTTACGATATCTTGTATATATGCTATTTTATCGTGCATTTTATGCATGCTTAAATAACTTTACATTGTAGAGAATATATCCATTGGAAAATCGCGAGCACTGCGCGGTTAATATTTCAAAATTATGTCAAATTACGAACATAATATTAATTTTTGACAAGAAGAAATGGCACGTAAAATAATCTTATTGTTAGAAGTACATATAGTTTGTCTTATATAAGTCTGCTTTATGTATGCCTAACGTCATATATGCATTATTGGTATATAGCAGTCTTGCCTTAAGAGAATCGCTGTATAAAATCTTATTTTTTGTTCTAAGAAAAATTAACTTACTGAAAAATTATCTTAAATAGTTTCTGTTTAGGATAATTTTATATTTATATAGATCTATAATATATATTAATAATTTTCAGTTTAAAAATTCCAAATTCTTTGTACGTTACACTTTTCTTCTCATAAGAAAATGTAAGAATCCAGCGATCTCTTTGAAGGCTCAAAACATAAACAAAGTAGTAAACGCGTCTTATATAAGTCTCTTTTATGTACATCTAATGTCACATTAATGTATATTTATTATAGTCTTATTGTCTTGAGAGTCATTGTCAAATCTTTTCTATATTTTATAAAAATTAGTATTTTAAAATTAAATAATTTCTGTTCAGAAATTTCCAACTATTTTTGTACACACAACTTTCTCGCAAGAAAGTGTGTAAGAATATGATAATCTTTGAAGGTTTGACATAAACAAAGCAACCCAGACAGCACAGAAAAGCCAAAAGGCATCTTAAAAATGTCTAAAAGATAATAAGACGTCTTTAAGTTGTCTTTTTGTCATCTTTTAAAGACTTCTGCTGTCTGGGCAATAAACGCGCCATATTTTCGGAAACTTATTTTTCATCATTACAATAAAATTTTCAATATTTCAACATTTGTGTCAAATCCTTTTCATGTCAAAGATTCCACATGTCACTTTTCACGGCTTTATTTTCATTCGAAAATGAAAAAACATGTTTACGTTTTTTATACACTGGAAAGATACTTTATATATATTTGCACGAAATGATTTCGAGGATTGACGTGATAACACAAATCCGAATGTGTGGCAAATTATTAAAGTCAGAGAAAAGTCATAATTGAAACTCAAATAGTTTGAATTATGTTCTCTT